ATTTTGACTGGGTTTTTTTTTTGGACCAGAAGTATCTTGAAATCTGGCTCAAAATAGAAATATTAAATTTTTGACAATTTTTCTGAGGATGGGTAAGAGACCCTAACACCCCCAGTCTCCTTTATAGGTTTTTACTGGGTTTGCTTCTATTACTGGGATGTCCTCAACCATGACGAATCATTCCTTGTTATATTTTATTTTCTGAGAAACAGGGTACAGCTTTGCTTTTGTGATGACAAATTCAAAATGAAGGGCAAATGTGATATAGAAGAGGCCTGGGGGATGTGATTAATGAACAGAGGAAATGTTGCTTTAGTGGCTGCAGTGCCTATAGTTTTTAACCCTTTCACTGTTGGTGATGTATAGGTATGGCTTACAAGCCAATGTCGGTGACGTATTAATAATACTCCAAAATTCTAGCGCTTCAAATCTTGCAGGAGAAAGCTGGTAGACCTACATGTGAGATAATGGGTCTGCATGGTCAATTTTTTTTTTTTTTTTTTATTATCACACTGGCCGATTCCCACCAAGGCAGGGTGGCCCGAAAAAGAAAAACTTTCACCATCATTCACTCCACCACTGTCTTGCCAGAAGGGTGCTTTACACTACAGTTTTTAAACTGCAACATTAACACCCCTCCTTCAGAGTGCAGGCACTGTACTTCCCATCTCCAGGACTCAAGTCCGGCCTGCCGGTTTCCCTGAACCCCTTCATAAATGTTACTTTGCTCACACTCCAACAGCACGTCAAGTATTAAAAACCATTTGTCTCCATTCACTCCTATCAAACACGCTCACGGCATGCCTGCTGGAAGTCCAAGCCCCTCGCACACAAAACTCCTTTACCCCCCTCCCTCCAACCTTTCCTAGGCCGACCCCTACCCCGCCTTCCTTCCACTACAGACTGATACACTCTTGAAGTCACTCTGTTTCGCTCCATTCTCTCTACATGTCCGAACCACCTCAACAACCCTTCCTCAGCCCTCGGACAACAGTTTTGGTAACCCCGCACCTCCTCCAAACTTCCAAACTACGATTCTCTGCATTATATTCACACCACACATTGCCCTCAGACATGACATCTCCACGGGCCTCCAACCCTTCTCCTCGCTGCAACTTTCATCACCCATGTTTCACCCCCAAATATAAGACGTTGGTAAAACTATACTCTCATACATTCCCCTCTTTGCCTCCAAGGACAAAGTTCTTTGTCTCCACAGACTCCTAAGTGCACCATTTCACCCTTTTCCCCCCTTCATCAATTCTATGATTCACCTCATCTTTCATAGACCCATCCGCTGACACGTCCACTCCCAAATATCTGAATACATTCACCTCCTCCATACTCTCTCCCTCCAATCTGATATTCAATCTTTCATCACCTAATCTTTTTGTTATCCTCATAACCTTACTCTTTCCTGTATTCACCTTCAATTTTCTTCTTTTGCACACCCTACCAAATTCATCCACCAATCTCTGCAACTTCTCTTCAGAATCTCCCAAGAGCACAGTGTCATCAGCAAAGAGCAGCTGTGACAACTCCCATTTTGTGTGTGATTCTTTATCTTTTAACTCCACGCCTCTTGCCAAGACCCTCGCATTTACTTCTCTTGCAACCCCATCTATAAATATATTAAACAACCACGGTGACATCACACATCCTTGTCTAAGGCCTACTTTTACTTATACTGTGCAGTATAAAAAAAAAATCGGGGAGGCCGCAGTGCATTGTGGGAGTGCTAATTCAGTATGCCTTGGTCACCAAGCCTAGCGATAAGGAATACCTCTTTCCCCGGAAAACTGGGACTCTTCCCTTCCCAAGTGATAGTTCTAACACAGATTGAAGGTGTCAGTGGAGATGAATCTCATGGTTTTGAGGAGTTTGTGACCGAAAGCAATGTCCAGGATGCCAGAAATAGTGCTGAAAACCCAGATGATCATCAACCTTCCACCTCTGATGCTGGGCCATCCCCATTCATGTTCACTTGTACCACAGCAAAAGAGGAAACTCATATTTTCCCAAGTTTCAAAGAATAAGTGAGTTTATTCAGGTATACACAAATACAATTACATAGATTATCATACATAGCAGCATATGTGTAGATTACCTAGGATAACCCAAAAAAGTCAAAGTGACTTATTTCCATGTGGGTGGTGGGGAAGACAGCATAGTTGATGGGGGAAGACAGCGTGGGTTGTAGGGAAGGCAACATCGGCGGTGGGGAAAGCAGCGTGGGTTTGTGTGAACAAGTTTTGTGAACAATATAATGATAATATTTGTGCAGTTATTCTGTTGCATACAATGAGTGGATATATATATGTACATTATGCATTATATTGGTCTCACAGGCCACAAAAGTTGCTTGAAAATATAAAATATTAGAAAAAAAAAGAAAAAATAGAATAAAAGTAAAAATAATATTACCGAGTAAGCAGCAGTTGCTGATGTTGCCGTAAGCGGTTCACTGTCTGTCAACTTCATGCATCTATATCTCGGTAAGTACTGATTGCAATTTTTTTTCTTTTAAAACAATCAGAATTTTTTTTTTTTTCAAATATTTTTTGACACTAAAAGCAAGTATAAATAAAGTTTGTGAGCAGGGGTCTCGACAGTGAAAGGGTTAAACTGGAATTTTTAAAGTGTGTAAAACTGGCAAACTTACCAACTTTGCGCATTTTATAGGGTAGTTCTGATAGCTGAATGGACAGTTTCTTGTACTGAATTGATAGAATGGTATGTATACTAGCAAAATGTTTAAGAATTTGGTAGAACTGAGTAATGGAATTGGCTTAAAATAGAATTCAACGTTTTCCATCACATTTCAACATGAAGATAGTTCATACATACTTTCTAGCATTCTATCTTAATTATTTCCTATAGACCATACCCCCGGCCGGGATTGAACCCGCGGTCATAGAGTCTCAAAACTCCAGCCCGTCGCGCTAGCCACTAGACCAGCTAGCCACAATAAGATTCATCCAACTAGGTATATTTCTACACCATAGGAAAGTTAGCACAGGCACCTCTGTGACCACAAATGCAAGTTTTTACAGACGAATCTCCAGCTAGCGTGGCCGTGACGAACTCTAGCTCAAGTCCCTTCACGCCGTCAAACATGACTTAAGAAATCGTAATGAACGATTGCAAATAAACCTACCCCGGCGGATTGAAACCCGCGTCATAGAGTCTCAAAACTCCAGCCCGTCGCGCTAGCCACTAGACCAGCTAGCCACAATAAGATTCACCAACAGGTATATTTCTACACCATAGGAAAGTTAGCACAGGCACCTCTGTGACCAAAATGCAAGTTTTTACAGACGAATCTCCAGCTAGCGTGGCCGTAGACAGAACTCTAGCTCAAGTTCCTTCACTGCCGTCAACATGACTTAAGAAATCGTAATGACACGATTGCAAATAACCATACCCCCGGCCGGGATTGACCCGCGTCATAGAGTCTCAAAACTCCAGCCCGTCGCGCTAGCCACTAGACCAGCTAGCCACAATAAATTCATCCAACCTAGGATATTTCTACAACCATAGGAAAGTTAGCACAGGCACCCTGTGACCACAAATGCAAGTTTTTACAGACGAATCTCCAGCTAGCGTGGCCGTGACGAACTCTAGCTCAAGTCCCTTCACTGCCGTCAACATGACTTAAGAAATCGTAATGACACGATGCAAAATAAACCATAACCCCGGCCGGGATTGAACCCGCGGTCATAGAGTCTCAAAACTCCAGCCCGTCGCGCTAGCAATCGTGTCATTACGATTTCTTAAGTCATGTTGACGGCAGTGAAGGGACTTGAGCTAGAGTTCGTCACGCCACCTAGCTGGAGATTCGTCTGTAAAAACTTGCAATTTGTGGTCACAGAGGTGCCTGTGCTAACTTTCCTATGGTGTAGAAATATACCTAGTTGGATGAATCTTATTGTGGCTAGCTGGTCTAGTGGCTAGCGCGACGGGCTGGAGTTTTGAGACTCTATGACCGCGGGTTCAATCCCGCCGGGGTATGGTTTATTTGCAATCGTGTCATTACGAATTTCTTAAGTCATGTTGACGGCAGTGAAGGGACTTGAGCTAGAGTTCGTCACGGCCACGCTAGCTGGAGATTCGTCTGTAAAAACTTGCATTTGTGGTCACAGAGGTGCCTGTGCTAACTTTCCTATGGTGTAGAAATATACCTAGTTGGATGAATCTTTGTGTAGCTGGTCTAGTGGCTAGCGCGACGGGCTGGAGTTTTGAGACTCTATGACCGCGGGTTCAATCCCGGCCGGGGGTATGGTTTATTTGCAATCGTGTCATTACGATTTCTTAAGTCTTATTTCCTATAGTTCTAGAATTTCTAAATTCTATTTATTATTTCTAATGTATAAATATAAACCGATGTATAAAATCAAATACTGAGATAAACCAGAAAGCTGTTGGAGATTTCTTCCTCTCTGTTTATTTCCCATTGTAAAAACACTCAATATTTTCACAAGATAAATACAGTGACATTGATTTCTTTGTATGTAATATATTAAAGTGTTATATTTTTGCCAGAAAAATTTGAGTCACAGCTAAAGGTTTAGAAAAGATCATTAAACATCACAGGGGAGTTAAATTCCCCTGCAATGTTAAATTTAACAAAATTGTACCTAATTGTACAAGCTTCTATCAAATTGGCAGGTGATGACAAGTTATCATACCACTGCATCTCAAGCATGCACATGCAATAATTCTCCATCAGAAGCACTGTGGAACAGAATTCTTCCTCCGTAAGCCATGCATGTTGCAAGAGGCGACTAAAATGCCGGGAGCAAGGGGCTAGTAACCCCTTCTCCCGTATAAATTACTAAATTTAAGAGAAACTTTCGTTTTTCTTTTTGGGCCACCCTGCCTTGGTGGGATACGGCCGGTGTGTTGAAAGAAAGGAAAGAAAGAAGAAGCACTGTTGCTCTTTCCTACTCCAGTAATAAGAACCCACCCACTCTCCCTCCCTCCTAGCTAGTACTACTCACCTGCAAATTCTGTGATGGAGCCTGCATGTAGGCCACCGTGTAGCATAGTGTCTAAAGCATGATTTCCCAGCCAGTAGCTGCCGTTTTTCTCCTCTTCACTCAGATCAAATGCCTGAACAATTTCCTTTATTACAAACAAGTATAAGTGCATATGATGCATGGTGGAAACAATAGTGCTGATACAGTTATATACTGTAATTACGATAGATTTTGTGTAATGAATAAAGAAACAATTTACAGTGGTACTGAATATTTAACACATAAAAAATATAAATCATCTCTTAACTTACAGTAACATGTTGAGGGACACAAACATCAAAGAGCTTGTCCATAAAGGCTTTACATTCATCAGCACTCATGTGAAGCAGTGTCATTACTTGCAATGGAGACAGGGAGAGGACATCCTGGGCAAGATAAAAAAAAAAAAATGCACATCATATAGATTACATTCAAATTATAAAAAATAGCTATTTGATGCACAGAATGTCTTTGCCATTTAATTTAATATTTTTGTTAATTTAATACACATTTAAGGGATATATTTGAAACTCATTGTCTGAAAATGACAAAAATTTCCCATCTGCCAACATCTTTACTATTATTGTTAACCCTTAAACTGTCCAAACGTAGATCTACGTTCACTTGCGTAACATTTGAAAGCATGTAAAATATAACGTAGATCTACGTTTGGACAGTTTAAGGGTTAAAAAACACCTATTAAAACTCACATAAATGTTATACCCAAAAACTCTCTGTAAATTCTCACACTTTAATTTCACCATCTCAATTCAACCACTCCATAAAATGCAGGTCATTGAACTGATATAAATTCAATGTAATTTATTTGTAATTAACCAATTCTGCATTTGCAACCTGTCTCACTATACCTGTCATTGTACTGATGTAAGTAATACGTCGCATTAGCCAGTGGCTAACGCGACGGTCTGGAGTTTTGAGACTCTCTGACCGCGGGTTCAAATCCCGCCCGTGGTATGGTTTGTTTGCAATCGTGTCATTACGATTTCGTGAGTCATGTTGACGGCAGTGAGGGGACTTCAGCTAGAGTTCGTCACGGCCACGCTAGCTGGAGATTCGTCTGTAAAAACTTGCATTTGTGGTCACAGTGGTGCCTATGCTAACCTTCCTATGGTGTAGAAATATACCTAGTTGGACGAATCTTATTGTGGCTAGCTGGTCCAGTGGCTAACGCGATGGTCTGGAGTTTTGAGACTCTCTGACCGCGGGTTCAAATCCCGCCCGTGGTATGGTTCATTATGTGAATAAAAAATAAAAATGGAATTCATTGGTAAAGCCTCAAAACGTAACTAATGAACAGAAGAAATGTTAGTTTAGTGCCAGGAATACTTACGTACATTGTTTATTCTGGACCCTATTTTGAAATTGGAATATTTTGAACTTTGTGTTAAATTGGCCAAATTACCAATTTCCAATCACTTTATTTTGTAGTTGAAACAGTTGACTTGGTGATTTCTTGTGCTCAATCAATAGAATAGAAGTAATACTAGTGAAATAGCTAAGAATTTGGTTGACTGGAATAATGTAATTGGCCTAAAATGGGAGTCAAAGTCGGCAAAATCGCCAATTCGTAAATATCGCTGACACATCAAAATTCGCGAGAGCATAATTTCGTCAATTTTCCATCAAATTTTGTACTTTTTGTTTTATTACCTTCAGAAAAAGATTTTCTACCATTTCTTAAGAAAAAATAACAAAATTATTTTTTGAAAATTCTTGGACCCTGGTGCGCACTTCGAAATTTGGCCTCTGGACCCTGAAGGGTTAACACAACCTCTTCCCTCCTCTAGTCTTCCATACACTAAGAAGAATTGCCAATAACGGTAAGTATTATGCTGTTATGTTTCATTCTTCATGTCTCACTGTTTTCTGTGTACAGTGGACCCCCGAGTTTCATGATTAATCCGTTCCAGAGAGCCTGCCGAAAGTCAAAATTCGCGAAACTCTAAACCATTTTCCCCATAAGAAATAATGGAAAGAAAATTAATCCATTCCAGACACCCAAAAATATTAAAATACAATTTTTTTTTTCAAATTAAATAAGATTTTTTTTTTTTTTTTTTTTCAACAAGTCGGCTGTCACCCTGCCTCGGTGGGAGACGGCCGACTTGTTGAAAAAAAAAAAAAAAAAAATACTGAAATCAATGAGAAATCAAGTACATGCATATAAAAAATAATAACAACATTACACTTACCTTTACTGAAGACTTCTGGGTGGATGGAAGACGGGAGGAGGGGATAGGAGGAAGGCGTTCACTATTGTTTGGAAGGAGAATCTCCTTCCATTAGGACTTTAGGTAGCAAGTCCTTATCTGGGGTTACTTCCCTTCTTCTTTTAATGCCACTGGGAACAACTTGAGAGTCATTGGACCCCTGTCGCACAAAATATCTGTCCAGAGAGGTCTTTTTCTCGCGTTTCTTTAAGATTTTCCTGAAGTGGGACACAATACTGTCATTGTACATGTTGCAGATATGGCTTGTTTCAGCTTGGTCAGGTTGATACTTTTCAACAAAACTTTGCAACTCATTCCACTTGGCACAAATCTCCTTAATCTTTGAAGAAGGCACCTCATCCACTCCCTCTTCCTCCTCCTCTGAAGCAAGTTCCTCAGCTGTGGTCTGATGCTGTTCCAGTTGAAGCTCTTGGAGTTCGTCAGTGGTTAGCTCTTCCCTGTGGTCCTCCACCAACTCTTCCACATCCCTGTCACTCACCTCCAACCCCATGGGCTTGCCCAATGCCACAACACTTTCCACAACAGGCAGAGGGTCGGCAGGGCCAGTGTCTACCCCAAACCCTTCAAAATCCCTCTGGATCGTGTTCCTCACTTTATTTACCAAAGGGCCTGCACTAGCTTTCCTTGGGTCCATGATGACTTATTTAGCAGTTGCAAGCACAAAAAACAATGGATTATTATGAAATGTATGAACCCGCGGGGTGATGGTCACGTGTTGGTAAACAATGGCACACTGAGCGTGAATGGCGTGGGAGACTGGCTTGGTGTGCGCGGTGACGGGCGGACGGGTACTGGACGTCGCCAAAACACGAATCTAATCACAAAACTTGAGGCCAAATTTTGCCCAAAAAACTCGCTGAAGGTCGAATTTCACGAAAGTCGAGGCTGCCGAAACTCGAGGGTCCATTGTATGTATATCTATATTTCATATAAAAAAATTATTTTGTTTTAATACTTCTGGGTGTCTGGAACAGATTAATTGTATTTACATTATTTCTTATGGGGAAAATGGTTTTGCAAATCGCCAATTTCGATAATAGTCACACTCTCTGGAATGGAGTAATTACGAAAAACAAGGGACCACGGTATATGTCAGTGTTAACTTGTTATCTGGCATTTATATGCATTTATTTGTGGAAAAATATGGTGTTCTGCTTTCCAGCGATGTCCACTTTCCAGTGGTAGCCTAACCTGCTATATAAGTGGGGCCCTACTGTATGTTATTTACTGAAATTTTAACTTTTCAAATGACAGACACTAAATTTTAGATACAGAGATACAGTATGTAGGTACAGCAAGGGAAAAAAACAAATTAGAAATCCATCTCTACTGGATTCCAAGGACATAAATAAGGCCAAACTGAAGAGAGGAACACCAAGCTACTTTTCTGTTGATGTAGTCTTCTCCTGCAAGTGGAAGGAAAGAAAGGTAGTCACTATGTTGCCACTGCCAAGAAGAAAGTAGAGGATTCCTGCCTCATAGTAATCAAAGCTTACAACTGTAACTTGGGTAGCAATGACAAATGTGACATGCTCCCCCATCTCCACAAGATTTCTATGGGAGCCAACAAATGGTATATGTAACTCTAGCTATAAGCTTGACACTGCTGTCTGCAGCTCTTGGTTCCTGTAAAAAAAGGAGTCCAAGTCCCTCAAACATGAGCACATATCACTCAGAGAATTTGGTATGCAGATATAATCATCTGCAAGACTACAGAAGCCTGGATGACTTATGTCTTGCAGTTACACAAATGGGACAAGGCTGACTAGTGGAAATGATAGTCACAATTTGCAAAGGAACTTTAATGAGACATTTTGCCTTAAGAAGCCTGTTCTACATGAAGTACAGTGGATCCCCGCATAACGATCACCTCCGAATGCGACCAATTATGTAAGTGTATTTATGTAAGTGCGGTTGTATGTGTATGTTTGGGGGTCTGAAATGCACTAATCTACTTCACAATATTCCTTATGGGAAAAAATTCGGTCAGTACTGGCACCTGAACATACTTCTGGAGTGAAAAAATACTTTAACCCGGGGGGGTCCACTGATACGAATTTCCCTCAATGCAAATTGTATCTAAAAAAAAATTTTCCTGCCTCCGAATCCTTGAGGTACAGTCAGTTCCCCAAATGTCCAAAAAATAGAAGCAAACCTCTAATTGCCCCAAATTGTGTGCTTTGGGTCTAGATGGCTATGCAATGTGTACCATTAAAGCAATCCCAAGAGTAGTAACTGCTCTACCATTCCAAAATCCAAACAAAGCATCTAAGAATTTGTCTCAATCATAATATATTTCAGTAATTTTAAAATTTAATTTCTTCAATATTTAAAAAATTCAGCTAATTTTACATTTTTTTTTTAAAAAATTGAAAAAACTGTCTAAAAAATGTACAATTTTAAGTAGTAGGTTGTAAACGGGAACCGCCCAGGGGTACTACTGCCTGCCAAGTGATTTTAAAAAAAAGCCGAAATTTGTTTATATGATGTAGGATTGTGGTGCCTTTTTCTGTCTGTAAACATCAAGATTTAGGTACGTCTTCTACTTCTACTTACACTTAGGTCACACTCACTACATGTTTTTTTTTTTTTCAACAAGTTTGGCCGTCCCCACCCAGGCGGGGGACCCAAAAAAGAAAGAAAATCCCCAAAAAAAGATGCTTTCATCATCTTCAAAAACTTTCACCCCACTCCCCAAATTTTCACTGTTTTTGCAAGGTGCCGAAAACAACATTTAGAAGCATTAAATATAAAGATACACAACTACCCCTCCAAACTGCCAAATCCCAACCCTTCCTTAAAGTGCAGGCATTGTACTTCCCATTTCAGGACTCAAGTCCGACTATATGAAAATAACCGGTTTCCCTGAATCCCTTCACTAAATATTACCCTGCTCACACTCCAACAGATCGTCAGGTCCCAAGTATCATTCGTCTCCATTCACTCCTATCTAACACGCTCATGCATGCTTGCTGGAAGTCCAAGCCCCTCGCCCACAAAACCTCCTTTACCCCCTCTCTCAACCCTTTCGAAGACGACCCCTACCCCTCCTTCCTTCCCCTATAGATTTATATGCTTTCCATGTCATTCTAATTTGATCCATCCTCTCTAAATGACCAAACCACCTCAACAAC